AAAAGGAGGGGGGGGGGGGGGGGGGGGGGGGGGGTGTACTCATAGTCGTGCATGCCGTAGTCGTTAGGCCATTGACTTCGCATCCCCACAAAGTCGGGACGGAGCACGCCGGGTTCTCACCGGACTAGGCTCTCACAACACCAAGCGCGAAGCGCCGTGAGGTTTTCGTCAAGTCGCATGAAGGGTGCGCTGCATCCTGCTAAGGGTGTTCGGCATCTTGTGCTTACTTCCTTGCGTACGGATGGCAGCTGCGTATGACGTAATTTATTTTCTGGCGCTTTCACTTCCAGAGACAGTTGTAAGCACTGTGTAACTACCTCGAGGGTGCTTGACCATTTTAACACAACGTGGTGCGATTATCCCCGGGAGAGGGGGGGCGTACTCTTATGTTTTGCATGCCTTAGCGGTTAGACCATTGACCACGCGTCCTCGAGAGGACGGAGCGTTGTTCCCACAGGACCGATCACCGATGGCCAATCGTTCCTTCCTACTTTGCCAAAGGTGGCTCAAAAATGTCTTCCCTAGTTTGCCTATCCTAACGATATCCCCTCCCGCCTTTTCAAACCACTTCCTACTCCCCAGTACAGCTACCGTCGTCTCCTCTCTATTCCATGCCTCAAACATCTCCCTGTACCTCCCTTCTATTTTCCCAGCTCAGTCATGTACACTTCCCTCTCCTCTTCGTGTTACGGACATTCCGCGACTACATGAACACGGTCTTCGCATTCGAAGCCGCAGTCACATTTGAACTTGTCGTCTTCGTCGTCTACCGTCCTATGTCTTCGTCGACGTTCTCGAAGGTCTATGTCCCCGGTCCTGGATATGACCTTAAGCTCTGTCCCTGCATCCATTGGTCCATGTAGGTCATCCTTGAATCCTACTCCTTCTTGCAACATTCCGTACACTTCTAGACCCTCCTTATCCTCGGTTTATTCCCTTAGATTCTGTTCTTCTCTCGACACAAGCAACAAATATCTTCTCCTTGAACCCCTGTAGACCCTCCGTTTCAAGCGTTTCATCTTCGTCGATGTCCAACCCCTTCCATACGTCCTCTACAACCTTGACCCATTCCATGGGTTGTCTACCCCTCTTTTTGTTTGCCCACTTCGCCTCCCATGCTATTATCGGCAACCTCTCCTCTCCCATCCCGCACATGCGATACCTCCATGTCAGCTTCCTTATGTCTCTTCCCGACCGTAGGGATTGGATTCCCAATTCTGCCCTGACGGCTGCATTACTTGTGCGCTTGGAGCATCCTAGGATGATTTTCGCTGCTTTCATCTGCGCCGCCTCGAGTTCTTTCACTCCCTTTTTACTTCCTTCCCATACTTCTCTGGCGTACTCTAGCGGCGGTACGATTACGCTCTTTAAAACCGCCAATTTGATGCGTGTATCGAGGTGCCGGGGGGGGGAGGGGTGTACTCATAGTCGTGCATGCCGTAGTCGTTAGACCATTGACCTCGCATCCCTACAAAGCCGGGACGGAGCACGCCGGGTTCTCACCGGACCAGGGTCTCACATCACCAAGCGCGAAGCGCCGTGAGGTATTCGTCAAGTCGCATGAAGGGTGCGCTGCATCCTGCTAGGGGTGTTCGGCATCTTGTGCTTACTTCCTTGCGTACGGATGGCAGCTGCGTATGACTTAATTTATTTTCTGGCGCTTTCAAACCAGAGACAGTTGTAAGCACTGTGTAACTGCGTCGAGGATGCTTGACCATTTAACACAACGTGGTGCGATCATCCCCCTTGCGCGGAGTGACGGTTCTCGACCCCGCACAACATGATCTACTCGACCACCGTTCATGGTTACCGCAAAAAAAAAACAGAGGTACAAAAAACAACGGTAACCTGGTTGCCGAGTTAACGAAGTGAAATGGCTTTTTTTACAACGTCGTTGCCAAGTGACGAAAACCCAATCCCGATGGCAAACACTGGGGGGGGTGGCTTGTTTTACAACGTCGTTGCCAAGCGACGAAAACCCATCCCGGATGGCAAACACCGGGGGGGCAATGGTGCCGGGGGGGGGTTAATATTCTGTTTTGTTTGCCTCAGAGGTTAGACCATTGACCACACGCCCTCGAGAGGACAGAGCATTGTTCCCACAGAACCGATCACCGATGGCCAATCGTTCCTTCCTACTTTGCCAAAGGTGTCTCAACAATGTTTACCCTAGTCTATATAGGAGTATATCCTATCGATATCACTTCCCGCCTATTCAACCCACTTCCTATGCCCCAGTACAGCTACCGTCGTCTCCTGGCTAGTCCATGCCTCAAACTTCTCCCTATACCTGCCTTCTACTTTTCCCGACGCGAAGGGGGATACCGGGGAGGACAGCAGTAAGCGGGGTGTGCTGTGTTGAACATATGCATACGTTTTTTGTTTTGTGTGGGTGAGGAAGAGACCAAGGGTAAGCACACGACGGGGGCGGGGCGTGAGGGAGAAAACCGCTCCACGACTCGTCAGTTTGCGTAGCCGTAGCAATCCTACAGTAGTTCCCCACAGGTCTCTCTGATGTTCTCGACGTTTTTTCCCCTTCTTTCTTGTCGTAACGAATCTTCGCTCCCTTGCATGTCCCCCGTGTCCTCTTGAATGGTATGTGTGCTGATAATTGTTATGTTTCTGCCGACAGCTGCTTGTTACTGATGTTGCTGCCTTTGCTGTTGTTGTTGTTGATGTCGTAGTTGTTACTGCTGTTGCTGCTGTCGTTGTTTATGCAGTAGTCTAGGTGTTGGCACCGTAGACGCCGTCGGCATTGCTTCGAAACGAAAATCTGTTCGTGTGTGTTTCTCACTCGATTTGTGCCCCTAACTGTTCGAAGAGGGAACCAAGCGTGCATTTCGAGCTTCGGGTGTTCCTGAGACACAATTTGCTACACCTGCTGTACCGTGCGTGTTTTTTTTTTTATGTTAGCGTCGGCCGCACTAACCGGCTGACGAAAAAACGTCAGTCTCTAGTGTTGTCTGTTTTATTGCCGTGTCTTTTTCCTTGGAACACCCTCGGCGTGCTTCGAACCCGATCGAACAATGAGGGGCTACGCCACCCACACGACGAGCTCGAACCCAACACTATTCGTTGTTTTGGTGTACTCCTTTGCCTCTACCACTGTTGTTCTTGTAACGTTGGTCACCCCATCATGCATGCATAGATACAGGTGTCCGTTCGAGGTGGACCAAGCGCTCGTGCTTCGCGTCAAGAGCGTAGTGCCCTTGTCACGCAGCAGGCGGGGGCGGTCGACAAAGTAGCCACGTCGGTATCGGGGTTTCTAGAGAGGAGGGACGACCGTGTCGGCCAGGGGCGCGTGGTCCCGGTGGAGTTCGACGGGAGAGTGGAAGGGAAGGGTGGCAGCTTGGAGCTGTTCGAGGTACGCTTCGACCCTACAGCGGTAGCCTGCCGAGCGCGTGGATCTTGGAGGGAGGGGCTGACAATCCATGTGATGATGCTTGGATGTTTGTTGTGGTCGTTGTTGTTGATATCGCTTTGGTTGTTGTTGTTGTTGTTGTTGTTGTTGTTGTTGTTGTTGTTGTTGTTGTTGTTGTTGTTGATGTTGTACTTCGGTGTTGTTGTTGTTGTTGCTGTCGTCGATGTTGTGATTCGTTGTCGGCTGGCAAGCTATCAACTGCGTTTGTGTTTTTTGGCCGCCTGCTGCCATCAGTAGTGTAGCTTGTGCGGTGGTCTGAAGGCAGGCGTGATTGTACACTCGTTGCAAGACATGTAGTTCTATGTAGCACGACATGACACGACGGCAGACAAGAGGGAGTGAAGATGAGATGCCACAAGCAAGTCGACGACCCCCCAAGACATGTTTTTTCAGGGACGAAACCTTTAATGATCGAAGGCAACCATCTACGGCAGGAGGGTTTGGTAAGGGAGGAAGCCTTCTGTGTGACCAACCAAGGATTGGAGCTATACTGTAATACCTTCTACCGGCCAGAAATGCTGTGAGCGCTGGTTAAACAGTCATAAAAAGAATAATATCAGCTGGGACACAAGCATGATGTTCCTCCCTGGCCTCCTTTTCGTCACCAAACGGGTACCACCTTGAGGACGAAGAGCTTGTGGCATTGCTTCGGGTCCTGGCCAACGATTCCTCCCCGTCAAGGTATGCCCGCCTGCCGGTTGATTTATGCACCACGGGTATTTATTGCGTGCAAAACGGGTAAATTATGCTCCATGCCGGTAGATTCCACGTTTTTTTGGTTGTGCGTACCGCCCATGTGTGTGTGTGCGCGCGTCGAACGAGTTCGTCGCCATTCTGTATCTGGAATGAACGGTGTTGTGTTCGGAAGGGGTCCCGCGATGGTGCGGTACGGTATGGCGGAGAGAGAATATCCAACCACACCGGTGCCATCGCAATATTGCCGGTTTGGGGATGGGGAACACATGTGCTGAGCAGAGATAAACATTGGGCCGTAACAGACCACAGAGTCCCCAAAAGTACCTCGAATTCCCGATGCTACTCCCGTAAGCCCCGTTGTTTGCAACTAAGAGTGGTAAGCCGTACGCACCAATCTTATTGCCTTTTTACCGAGGGGACTTGTTCGAGAACGCTGCGGACAGGAAGGAAAGTATATTCTTTGAAATTTCGGTGGGTGTGCATGATTCCACCTGGACTCAATCAGCAGCAGAGACCCAGTCCTCGCGGGCCTCACACTTCTTGTTTATTGGTATACGAGAGGGGGTGTCGACATGGAGTCGATTGAACGCCATCCGATGCTTATGGGCATCGTTTGCACGTTCTTGCAATGGTGTTCGCAGAGAGAGGTCCTCTGAGAGCGGATGAACTACAGCAGTATTGTAGTACGTGCAGTAGTCAGTTGGGCGAGGGCGTTTGGCTTTGAACCACTGTGGACTTCACTACACACACAAGTATGCATAATGCATGCACGTAATTCTCGTCTGGCTCTCCCCTTCCCACCATCGCACGCACGGCCGACGCGCACAGTCCAAGCGTCGACAAAAAGGGTGAGAACGACACGTTCTTTTGGTCATTCACGCAAGACGGTGCCTTTCTTTTTCAAGACCAACCGCCGTTGGACCACCGGGGATAAAAATTGGCCGCTCATCGGAGACTTAGACTACCTACATAGTGTACGGACGGTGTGCTACACGCGGAGGCACCAACTACAACAGCAACTGCTGTTACGTGAGTGCACCAACAGTAAGTGCAGCAAGGATTTGAGTGTGACTCGATGGGTAGACTACACAACTGTAACAGGCAGTGCTGCAGCCGTTTCGTTTCGTTACGAAAATAAGACTCAACATTTTATTTTACGAAAAATAAGAAAAATATCATTAAAAAATCTCGGCCACAACATATGATAGGAAACGTCCCAATAAGAAACATGATCGTGCGATATCCCCAATGCATAAAAAAAGGGTTGCTGGGGGAGCGTGGATCAAGCCGCGGTCATTTGGGCGTGGGTGCTGCTAGAGGTCGACCAGGAGGAGGGAGTCAGGAAGTCCCGGAGGGCGACACACTCCAATGTTCGCCACACCGAGCTTTGTGGTTAATGCTGCATGGATGTTTGGTGCGTTGTTGTGTTCGTAGCCAGAAAAAAGAAAGTATACCAAAATCAGGAGGCTGCGACAGTCCAAAGGAATGAGAAATGCCTTTTAAGAAAAAATGGATGACTTCGGCTGGTCCTTCGACCCAACATAAGGGATTGAGGCTCGATCCGATTTTGACGTTTCTTATCTCCGGGCCCGTACTGTAGTAGTGGCGCGTGCAGTTTCCTGTTCGCGGACACTCGGGACTACATGCACGCATAATTTCTATCGACATCAGAACCATATTGCATAATGAACCCCATGGCTTTACTCTCCTTGGTCCATAGGAAATCATCTCCAACCCCATCGTCTTCCCAACGAGCATACGCGCACCACACACATTCAGTCGTGACAGACAGTTCCGTTGCATAGATCACACACACCTAATGATGCCTTGCAATCTGTCGCAGAAGAATATTGTAGCGACCTTCCACCCGCGGTCTGATCCATAACATGGTACAATTAAAAGGCCCGTATGTTGAGCTACTAAGCCTCTCTCTTCAGCTTTTCATAGCAGGCTGATGCCATCACGCGTTACGCATACGGCAGAGGCCGGCCAGGTCGGCCACGAGACTCCGGCGATTGGTCGGTTGAACCTTGCCTGCCGAAGTTTCGCCCTGTCCTGATCATGGCGTTGGCAGTGACCAATATACGGCTGGCAGCTTCTTCCATCTTGTTTCACACCTGCCACATGGAACAAACAATTTTCACGTATGCATAAGAGCCAGGCCTTCGCGCATATCATTGCGTCGTGCATGAAGGTGGCCTACCAGACGACCCAGGTGTGCACGAACCTTTCTTCGCACAATGTCCAGGCTGTTCTGAGTGCTGACCGTGTCTGGGTGGTTTTCCCCCAGCTTCTTCATACGGATTGAGAGGGCCCTCTCCAATAGTGGAACTGCGTCCGTGTACTGCTCCTGTGGACGATTGAGAGCAGGGTTGCGCAAAACTTAATCCAGTAGGCAAACCGCATCCATGTGCGAAGACTTGGGGGTGAAAGCACCGATTCGTTCACCAGGTACTACACGCAAGCAGTCGGTTGGAAGCGCGCGGTCCAGCCAAGTAGCAAACAAATCACATCGACACATGCGGAATGGCGTCGTCGAAAACCTACTTCCAAGTAACCGCTAACGGTGAACGTTTTACATTTCCTACCTTCTTGTCCAACAACAACGCCCGATCGTTGAGCGACCGGGCCACATCGGGGTGGTCCGGATCCAGGGTCTTGTCTCGAATGGCTTCTGATCGCTCGTAAAGTTGTTCTGCCTCAGCGTACTTGCCCTGTGCATCAGTAAAGTGGGATAGTGTGCGGCAGTGCACCAAAAACGAGAACAATATTTCGCTCGACAATGTGGACCCTACCAATGTCAATTTTGGGATAGTTGCTTGGGCTCTCACCTGATTCTTCAACAACCCAGTCCGGTTGTTTGCACGTGCCAAGATCGTGGTGGTCAAGGCCCAACGTTTTGTCTCCAACCTCAGAAACTCCAAGGTACAGAGGGTCCACCTCAGCATACTTTGAACAGCTTCATGCACGAATATTGGAGGCTAGTAAACCTGTCACTGCCGAATAATAAGCACTCACACCGCCCGTCCGTTGAGTCTTGTGGCCACGACTGGGTGCTCCGGACCCTGCACCTTTTCTGCATTTTTCAGTGGCCCGAGCACACTTGCCCGGAAACGTGATATATTTTGCGGAGAAACATATGCTCAACAATCCGCTCGGTTGTCGAGGGCCATGGCCACATGCGATGCTCAGGGCGCAGAACCCTGGCATATATCGTCTGACACCGTGCATAGAGTGGATCAGCCTCAGCATACCCTAGCATGCAGTCGTGACCAGCAGTGCGGAACATGTGGGATCTACAACTCTCGGTCCACCACCTTCCCTCATATGGCTTATGACCGCTGATGGAGTGGCTCGGTCTCAACATACTTGCCATGATATGGAGTGGACAGACAGCGCGGCAGAGTCGGATTTCAGCCCGAATGAGATCTAAAATTGCGGAGGAATTGTCTTCTTCTAGAGGCATCGTCACCTGGCTCAGCAACAAACGCGCCAGATTGTTGAGCATTGTGGCCACATCAGGATGCTCCGGACCTAGCACCCTCTCTCGTATGGCTTGTGAACGTTCATAGAGTGACTCGGCCTTAGCGTAGTTCCCCTGGCATGCAGTCGTACACAGCGTGGCAGAGTTGTCTTCATTGCTCAATCAAATTGGGGTCTACTCCTGCGATAACATGTTTTTGTAACCACGCACGCTTGGTTGTTGAGCGCCTAGGCCATCGGGTATGGTCATGACCGCTCATAGAATACCTCGGTCTCAGCATCTCGCCATGGTTTGGAGTGGGCAGCGGGGCAGCGGGTCGGGTTTCAGGAAAAAGTGAGATACAAGACTACGGAGAAGCATCTAGAGTCGTCCCTTAACTCTCACCTGCCTTTCCAACAACCCCGCCCGGCCGCTGAGCGTCGTGGCCACATCAGCATGCTCCGGACCTAGTACATTCTCTCGTATGGCCTGTGACCGGTCATAGAGTGGCTCGGCCTCAGCAAATTCGCCCTGAGATACAGTGGTTTGCGCGGCAGGGTCGAGTTCAAGTCCAAATCTACGGTTGCGAGGAACAATTCCCAACAACCCCGTCCGGTTGTTGAGCAAATTCATGCCAACCACAAGAACATTGTGCCATCTAGTTCACTCCCGCCTTTTCACAAAAACATTCTCAGAAACGCCCGACCGCCCTTGAGAACGGTACCGCATTTGGGTGATTAGGACCAAGAGCCTTCTCGAGTATTGCCTGGCACCGCTCATACAGACGTGCTGCCTCCACGTACTTGCCCTGCCATGCAGTTGAAACAGCATCAGTCAATGTGGCACCTACAATCTGCAACTGCGGAGTAACATTTCTCAACCACGCTCGCCCGTTTTTTTTCAAGCGCCGGGGCCTTTTTCCGGGTGCTCCAGGCTTGATTATGGCCGCTCATAGAGTAGCTCGGTTGTAGAGAGGGTCCGACGTCTCGTACTTGCCCTGTGAGCAAGCAATGGCATGTTGTGAGAGCGGTCCACAAATGAACAGTTCACTATTAAATCGATCGGGGCGCTGAGAAAAAAAGTGGAAATCCGACGGCCCTCACCTGACTTTCCAACAACCCCGCCCGGTCATTGAGCGTTGTGGCCACAATAGGATGCCTCGGACCTAGCACCGTCTCTCGTATGGCCTGCGACCGTTCGTACTGTGGCTCGGCCTCAGCGTACTTGCCCTGACATGCAGTCGCACACAGCGTGGCAGAGTTGTATCTATTGCTCAGCTAACGCGGGATCAACGCTCGCTTGGTGGTTGGGCGCCTGGGAAACATACGGGTATTCCTGGCCCAGAACCTTAAACTTTCCTAGCATGCCTTGTGACCTCTCATGCAGTGGCTAGGTCGAAGCATAATTGACATGTGTTGAGATATACAGCAGTATCACTAAATGGTTATGTGTAGTTACGTGAGTACTGCTGCACGGTTGCTGCATGCAATGATCCATAGAGCGGAGTAAAATGTATACAGCTGTAGCAAGGAAGATTGGACAACTGTATATTGGTTGTTGTTGTGGTACGCCACAACTTTAGACTTAACTTGCTTCGTTTTGAGCTTGAACATGCACGCAACTCTCACGGCATCATCAATTGCTGCAAGTGCTGCAGGGTTGTAGGCGTATGTCTCCTGTAGTACTGTGAACACTGCTGTTGTTGTACTGCTGTTGTATTGAAGGTGCTGCTGTAGACTGCGCTATATCGTATATATTACAGTTAAACAAGAGAGATGAACTTTTCGTGATACCACACCGTTTCATGGAATATTGCTGGAAGTTAGTCAGAAGTTAGTCTGTTCACAGTGAACGTTTTGGGTTGTGTGGAATATTGCTGGAAGCTAGTCAGAAGTTAGAATATTTGCTGGAAGTTAATCAGAAGTTAGTCTGTGCAGAGTGAAAGAATGAGTGCACATTTCGTCGAATGTTCCGTATTTCCTCTCCAAGTTAGTCAGAATTTAGTCTGTAAAGCGTGAAAGCGTGCTCCAGCCCCACCGGCCCCACCCGGTCACTCTCATTTTCGACAGCCTCCCCTCTCATCCCCGCATCGACCTTCCGCTGCAACACAACATGAACGCCCCCTCCCGTAGCTCCCCAGCAAAGCGTAAGTCCACCCAGTCAGAGAGTCGTAGTGGAGAGTCCCGCCGCCCTGTACAAAAGGGCGACCCCACCTGGCCTTGCCCCGGGCCCGACTGCGACGACGGCGGTCACCTTAAGCTCATTAACAAGCGCGACAGTAAAGGCAAGTTTGCCCCTTGCGACCGTAACAACAACCGCGACGAGGACAGTTGTAGCGTATCCTGCACCATCCTCACCCCGTCGACAACGTACCCCAAGCCGTGAGAGCTCTGCCTCGCCCCGGTGGGAGGTACTCCTTCGCTCGGGATCCCAACCGAACAGGTCAACAGCCGCGGCTACAACGGTAAAAGAAATTTCTCTCTTTAATTAAATTAAGTAATTTCCGCCTGATGTGTGCCCGAATGTTGTTCAGGTGTTGCATGAAGCCCTGACATGAAACTGCATCGCAACCGCAACCGCCAAATCTCTCCACAACAATGCCCTTTTTTCTTGCTGTTGTTGTCAGAGTGGAATAATATCCACGCGGTGTGGCGTCTTTACGCTGATGCCAAGTCTTCCGACGGCAAGAAGTTCAAGCACGTCACCGTATACGGATAACGCGCAACACGCAGAACTAGCAAGATCTCGCAGACGAAGACGTGCTGAAATCTTAACGGAACGTCGACGTCGCAATGCAAACACTAACACACCACACGACTCAGACCCTGAACTCGATATGATACGTCAACATTTTAGCCAAATGAGGAATCGTGCACCAAGGTTACCGGCACCGAGTCTAGACAGCCATCGCGGTGATGACAATAACAAAATACGCCTTGGAGTGCAAGACATTGACTCGCAATCATTCGACTTCCCCTCGGCACCTTTCGAGCTAAAACACACGGATTTGGATGACCCACAAAATATCACGTGTTCTCACTGCAATGCTCAACTTTGGAAAGACGGAAAAAGATTAAATTGTTGTAACAAAGGCAAGTCGTGTATCCATCCTCTCAAATCTATCCCCCACCATTTTATGGCGCTGTTTGAAACTACTAAATTCATTTCTGCTCAAAGAAGGTACAACGGGCTTTTCGGATTTATTTACTGCCTTAGGCGCAGGTGGTATTCAAAAAAAGACATGGACTGAACCGCCAGCCCTTTCAATGCTCACCTTGCATGGACGTGTGCTTACCACCGCATATTCGACCTCCAACAACATTATGAGAACTATTCCGTGTCGAACAACTCGAGGTTTTACGTATACGATTCTGAATGCACACAGAACACTTCATCCTTTAAATTTGATGCAAACATCGCGACAACTATACGAACGCATGTGCACAATAACATTCCGTGGGCACAACAATACCGATCTGCTGTAGATAGCATTATTAATCAACCTAACGCCTAACCACGCTGAATCCGCGGACCCTGCGTACATTGAGTTCGCTGGATTAAGCCGAACAAACGACGGACCCGTTGTAGGCGAAAAAGTTTCAGCACCGGAAGTTGCAGCTTTAGTCTTCACATCAGGTCAGGAAAACAGCGGATCACGTGCTGTAGTAGATTATCCACGTGACAGTCCGGACGACAAGCCCAGGTTCCTGCCCCTGTGGAGTGCAGCGTACGAAACTCTTCAGTTTCCGATGCTAATGGTCCACGGCTACGTTCTTACCGGCGCAAGAATAGAGAGGCGACCGTAGCTTACATCTCTTTTTCGTCCGCACCGGGCGAAGCTAGACAAAATTCACGTACACGCGACTCTTTTGGCTTCATGTCACCGGGAACGGCATTTCTCAAATACAACGCGAACATCTTCACACCGTTCATTCGATCACCCTGCGGCTTCATGCCCTTGATATGCTGTGCACAGCCTTCACACCTTCCCTTTAAGCCTACTGCTGAGGACAAGGGCGCCTCTGCGCCCGAAGTCCGGCGCTGAATAAAGTATGAATATAGAGCCAGCGCCAGAAGGAGTTTGGTTGTCTACAACGTATCGCGGGCAGGGACCCCAGCTACTAATATAGTAGTACTGAATGTGGTATCAATTTCTCGAGTGCGGTGGCGCGTTTTGAAGCGCGCCCAAAATACCACAACGACCCCGCCGGGTGAAATTGAGAAGAGGGGTAGAGGCGGCAAAACGTCGAAACGACTGAAACTGCTGTGCATATCATACATACAAGCTTTGTTGTGCTAAACCCGAAGAGCAAAAGAGAAAAAAATGGTACATTGTACGGCAAACACAGCTTTTGTCAAGCCACGCGGCAAACTTCACTGCAGGGGTTGTGCACAACTTCCTGTCTCGCGGTTTCGTGTGCTGCGAGTCTCGTGCGAACCGACAGCACTTCACGCAACCTATAACAAAGCAACCAAAAGGCATGCACTAAATGATAAATATGCATATGAAATTGTATGAAAAGGAGCTGTGTTTAGCACTGCTGTGTAATGGCGGTCAGGACAAGTCAGGATCGTCTCCCCCTCCCTCCACCGACTCTCCTACAGAACTCTCACCTTATTATAACCCGCCCGATTGGCAGGCACACCGTAGATGCGCGATGGAGCTGGACCCTGTCGTTCTTGAGGTCAACTGATTCGCTAGCAAGAGCTATGGCTGCCGATGCATGTGCACACTGCAAGCGTCAGGTGCGGTGCAATTGTGCCGGTGGCCCCGCAGATACTTCGGGGTGGCATGTACCCACATCTGCGGCATTTGTATTTTCATACCGCGGGTGAGAAGCCAGCCAGCTGGAAGCTGGAAAGAGATCGAAACAAACAAAAAGAAACGATATTTGGCCGCAACAGACCACACAGCCCCCAAAGGTACCTCAAATTCCCGGCTGTTACTGCCGGGAGCCCCTTTGCTTGCAACCAAGCGGTAAGCGCCGCTCTTTTTTCCGAGGCCTTGATCGAGAACGCTCAGGACAGGAAGTAAATAATATTCTTTGAAATTCGGTAAATGTTGCACAGACAGATGTTGCCGCCCGAAATAATTTTATTGTGGCTATTTCCGAAGGTTCCGATGGTTCCGAAGACTACCGCGTGCTTGAGCGGAAAATAACAAGACAATCATCCCGAGGTTCGTTATGGAAGTTTAGCCGCCTCTCTCACACACCTCTAACACACGCACATTACATCCCACACCTCCTCACTCCATCTCTGCACTCTGAACACCAAAGCACCAGCACAAGTCCTGAAGATTCGCAACGCCCGATGTAAGTACACTGTTTCCTTCGCCGCTAGCGCTCCGTGCGCTCATTCGGTCGAGTTGGGATGGACTAAACGTAGATGGCTGCGGTCACAGGCTGGAGAAGACGAGTGTTCTTTTTAGGTCGATCTACGGTTGTGCAGTCTAACGGGTGTTGGAGCAAACAGCTCGCCCAAGAAATCCTACGTCATCTCATGATCTGCGTTGTTACCTCGACATGTATGTGCGGTGCCCGCGGTTTCTCTCCCCTGATGATGACAGAACGAACGTTTATTTATCTGCAACCCCAAGGCCAAGATGCATCTAACTTCGCTCGTGCTACCGACGCTTTGCCTGGGGGTGGTCATTGGTGAGAGCGAGCGAGCGAGAGAGAGAGAGAGAGAGAGAGAGAACGAGAACAACTACGACTGTAGTCTATGTAGAGGTTGTAGTTTTCAGTGTGTCAGTGGTGATCTGAACCTCTGACCGCCGATGGATCACGACGTTTTTATGTAGGCTGGTGATTGACACATTTCTGAGACGGCGCAAGGAATTTATATTTGATTCAGTTCTAATCGCGGGGAGGGTGCCTGAGATCACGGTGAAAAGACAAGACTTCGCTTGTATTCGGAGTCGTCTTGAGTTAGAAAACTGTTCTATCCTCAG